AGATTTAGCAAAGTCATTATATTTCCCATGATGAAGAAGAGATATTATTTATCTTCTCGGATTATTAACTATTTTTTTCATTGAAAGATATGCTTTGATAAGCTTGCTTTACTTTTGGGTACATTTCGTTTTAAATCTAAGAAAATGGAAGACAGCGCAGATTAAGTTATGTTTAACAACAAGAACATAGTAACAAAGCTATTTAACACTATTCTATAATTTGAACGTCACAGTTGAAAAATCTGGTAAGTGGGAATTAGCAAGAAGCTTCACTTTTGCCCTATAAACTGACCTATAAATACATGTATATCAAGATTGAACAAGTACAAGACATAACTTTAAGCAAATTTACTCTCTAACTTTAAAAAAGTCAAATAATTTTACGGACACACCATGTACATAAAATGAAATATATCAGTCATACAATATTTCACAAAAATTTTCATTAATATAAAATATTTTCTTGACAAAAGCATATAAACACACAACAGTTATATTTTAATGATTTAACTTCACTCTTGTCAATGTCCCTCCCTCACTGAGATATACGTTAACAGACTAAATCTATCTGACCTGTAACCTCGTGCCTATACATAGTAACCTACTTTTTTGTTGTTGTTTTTTTTAAGGTGGGGTAAAAATAGGGTGGGCAGGGGTATGAATAAAGTCGGTCAATTGATTCCCAACCTGTCATTGTGAAGAAGGTGTTAACAAATCAAAATCAACGGTTTATAGGATCCGTTCGTTCGTTAATCATATACATAAGGTTGTGGAGTTTCAGTAGACAATACACAGTGAAGGACACGAGCTACTTAATCATTAAGTGACTATTAATTGGTGTGTGTTGGTCTTTAAGAGTAAGCAAATAAAAAACATGTTTAAGAAACTGTGATTGTATTAAAGAATCTGTGTCTGTAGGTGCTTTAAATAGTTGAGTTTGTATGTGTCTGTAGGTGCTTTAACGAGTTGAGTTTGTATGTGTCTGTAGGTGCTTTAACGAGTTGAGTTTGTATGTGTATGTAGGTGCTTTAACGAGTTGAGTTTGTATGTGTCTGTAGGTGCTTTAACGAGTTGAGTTTGTATGTCAGTAGATGTACATTTAAGAGTAGACCTAAAAGTGTGTTTGTATTCTTCGTGCGTGTGTATAAAACATATCAAAATTTATTCGGAACAGAAACAGTTCAAATATCTTCCACCGCCTGCTCAATACATCTGCACATATTCTTATAAAACAAGTTGAACAGCTAGATGCCCATGACACCAATAAATCAATATATAAAACAATTGACATTTAGGTGTCCCATGACACCAAAACATCATCTTATAAAGCAATTTGAACAGCTGGATGCCCATGACACTAATATATCATCTTATAAAGCAATTTGAACAGCTGAATGCCCATGACACTAATATATCATCTTATAAAGCAATTTGAACAGCTGGATGCCCAAATACCATCTTATAAATCAATTGACATTTAGATGTCCCATGACACCAATAAATCATCTTATAAAACAACTGAGCACTTAAGACTCTCGCAAAAGTAGTGACCGTCCTAGCGCATTCAAGCTGTCAAAAGAAATGTTGACACCTAGAGCTAGTTGAAGTTAGTTCTGACATTCTTAACTGTGACCGACTTGAGCCTTACACTAACACTTGGGAAGATTAAGGTCTTAGTGCTTGGCTGAAAGCTGAAATGTGCAAGAGGGAGGGGTGAGGAGGACTAAAGTTTGTGTGTTTGAAGTGCAATTCGTATTTTCCACCAGGTCTACTCGCATTTAAATATACTTAAGTAAATAGGCTACACAAAATGTTTCCATTTTCTATTACCGTACAACAGTGAAACAAATGATGTTGGCTTAATATATTATGAATGTTATTTAAAACATGGCCTACTTTCGGTGCGCACAAGGATTGAGTTTTTGCAAGAAATGGGGGCATTGATATAAATATACAAATAATATTGATTCTTATAGTCACTTTATTAAACACACATCACATAATCATGCAATAATCTTGAGACGTTTAGATCTACTGTTACGAAATAAGACGCCTTACTTGTTGCTATTAACAGCGGATTCCTTGGGCCTAAGGCCTCTTTTTTTTACCTTACTATGCCTCTTTTTGGGCCCTTCTGCCTCTTTTGTGTGCTTTTTTTAAAATAAGTTCTCACATTTCACAAATATTAAAGTATAAAGAATTAAAATTAAACTTTGAAAAATGATTAATCCATACTTTATTATTAATTAAAATAGTCAATCTACATAAATCGTAGGTAGAAAGTTCAAGATTAATGAAAAAAAAAAAACTTGATCTGTCTTGTAAAGATTAGTCTCCGAACTAGGCTGTCTGTTGATAAACGTTGTCCATGTGATGAACAACTAATGTAATTAATAGTTTAAATATTCCTTGCTAGTTAATATTTCTCATTTCCCCCCTTTAGATACGAAAAACAATTTTTGTTTTAAATTGGAGGTAATATACTTAATACCCCAAATGTACTAATAAACATTAAGAAGAATGATTTTCTGTGTAGATGGTTAAAGCTTTCATGTAATATTTAGAAAGATTTATTTATTTAAAGATTAAACACAGGTTTATGACTTCTGGAATGAAATATTCTTATAATCTTAAGAAAAATTTAAATTATAAATTACAGAAAATCATTCTTCTAATTAGCAGATCTTTTTGTGTGAATGTTTACCACAAAATTAGAGTTTTATTTACAAATGAATACCTAGCGTGAGTTGAGTTGCAGAAATACATCTTTTAGAATGAACCATATGTTTGTTAAACACCAGAATCTTAGGCCTAACCTTTTTCCCCCCTTTCAAACTCTGAACGAACCATGTTGAATTAGGAAACGAGCAATTAACCCCTTTCAGTTCAACTTAACACATTCGGTATTGCTAAACAGTGTGCTCTCTCTCTCTCTCTCTCTGTGAGTTTGTGACAATATCACTTGACTACAAGTATTGCAATATGTTCGACATTACAGTGCAACACGTACAGCAACAACAACAACACACACGCCGCATTCACACACACACACACTGACCAATTTGTTTTGCCTCTTCCAACTTGTTTCCATGGCCAGGTATAACGGCAGTGACTGTATTTGCGCAAAATGAAACAGAACATTTAAAGGGGCGGGATTCTAACTGGCCTTGAGACGATTGATGGGGAAAGTGGAGGGGCGCAAATTAGCAGCTAATTAAATCGTATTTCAAAGGGAAGCAAATCCAATATTTTAGGTGAGGTAATACTGTATGAGATAGAAGAAAGAAATTGCTTCATATTTATCTCCGTTAATTCTGTTTTAAGTGTCTAAACTGCACCAGTGTAGAGATTAAAGTGTTGGAACATGTGTTATGGTAAGTTTTAATGTAGGTCTACAGTCTCAGGAAACGAGATCATCCTGGCGGTTCAGTGAACTCCCGAGACCAGAAGACAAGAGTTCCATTGAACTAAAAATCCAGAGACTAGAAGACAGGCTTCCTTTGAACTAAAAGTCCCGAGACTAGAAGACAGACTTCCATTGAAATAAACCACCTGAGACTAGAAGACAGACTTCCATTGAAATCAACTTTTTCTTATAACTTCCAAGAGCTGCGAAGTGTAAAGCGACTTGACATTTGTATCCAAGTGTGAGCCTAGTCGTAGGTGTTCAGTAGCGAGTCCCATTCGACTATGTTAAACGTTTTCGGCTTGGGGTCAGAGTAATTTCTCACAAGTGTATCACAGGTCGGAGGGCTGCCTGGTCGTGCGGTATGCGCGCTGGATTGTCGATCAGTTGTCTCAATGGTCCCGAGTTCATACCCTTTAGAACATTTATAAATCTAAATATGGTTTATTGTTTGGCTCTTGTAGCTGGTGTTTTTTTTCAGCACGGTATGGTGGCTAGCCCAAATAAGAGGCTCGTCAACACCATTGTGAAGCCAATACTATTTGGAGCAGAGACTTTGAGAACCACCGTCACCACCAGGACGAAAATCCAGGTATTCATCAACACATGTCTCAGGAATATTTGTATGGTACTGTTATCGAGTGTGTGTGTGTGTTTCTATGGTGAAGGTGAGAAGTTAGCGATTGGTTGGTAGCTATGAAGCTTGAATGATGCAAAATAAGCGGCACTGTCGTAAGTTGGGGTTATTTTAAATTTTACAAGTTATGATATAATACGCCTACAGCGGTTTAGTTGTCTACCAGCAGTTGGATGCTACAAGTTAACGACCGTCAACACGAGGTACGCTGGCCAAACAAGGTAAAAAATGAGAAATTGTATAGAACAAAACAGCAGCCCATTGAAAAAGATAGCATTCAGAGATGCCGAGATTTGGGTGCAGATGCCGAGCAGATGGCCAAACGTTGGGACAGTTGGAGAGACTCGCCCAGAACCGAGAGGCCTGGAGGAAGCTGCTTGGTGGTCTATGCCCCAGACGGGACTACAGAGATGAGCTTAGAACAGTGATGCCCAACCTGATTCGACCTGCGGCCATTTTTATTTCCGACGCTCGTTTTGCGGGCCACATGAACAAAAACGTAGGCCTGCATAAACGATATTGACCTGAAACCCGTAGATCCTGTGCTTCATAAATTAATGGGATATTTGAAAGATGGCTTCATTTCTCTACTTAAAATATCAGGAATATTGTAGCTAGCTTTACAACCGAGTCATTTTCCTGTCTCTTTTTGGTAAATATCCCATTAATCCTCAAATTTCTAGGCGTAGTTTAACAATCTTTTATTCGCGGTTCAAACCAAGAATGCCGTTATATTTGTTTCATAATGTCGTCTATGTGTTTTTGTTTTTTAAAACAGCCACACTTTCTTTATACAAAAAAAAATATGTTGGCTTATAACAATGTTCCACAAAAAGTAAAGAACCGTTCACTTTTCTTGGTACAAAACGTACATTCTACACTCAGATACCTACTTTATAAACGCAACAATGTTAAATGTCATGGAACCAATCAATCAGAAGAAAAATCGAGCGCTCTCAGCCCCTTACGTAAATAAAGATACATTTTTACACCTTCTAATTTTTGGAAAAAGGGGTATTTTTACACTTTGTGCCAACATTTCGGCGGGCCGGAGGGAATCACGTCGCGGGCCGGATCTGGCCCGCGGGCCGTACTTTGGATATCACTGGATTAGAAGATGATATCGGCTTTTGGTGTCCATCAAGAGGCCCGTACAAGATGCTGGCCCCATGGCACACCTATAGAAGAAAAACTAGATGTCCTTATCTGGACATCACTGCGCAGTTCATCTCTAATATTAGTTTAATGGTTTGAGTTCTCTAACATAATAATGAGAACGAAAAAGAGGAAGAAACGCTTTTTACATAAACATGGACATTTTTGAAAAAATAAATAAAATAAATCAATGTTCAACAATTAAATTGCTTATGTTTTTTAAAGATCATCATAAACGATAATATAACAAGCAATAGAGAAAAAGAATACGTTTTGAAACCAAAGCCTTAACTAAGGGGAAATAACCGCTAATTACTACCATTTATTTGAAAATTACAGCGTTTAGTTCCCTATTAAAAACAAAATTAATTAATTAGTACTAAATGATTAAGGAATTGGTTCATTTTTTGATTGATTCGTGTATTGTTATCGACTATGAATAATTATGCAAAATTTCAACTTCATCCTAGAATGGGTAGTGGCGGAAAAAACATTCATAGAAATAACTATGGAACGAATTTTTAAGAATTCCTAAATGTAAAAACTTCTGGAAATTCAAGTTACTGTTACATAGTTAATGTTTGCGACACTAGGTCAGATGATTACAGGTTAAAGTCCATTCTAGCTTTCAAATTGATTGCATTAAGATCTAAGCAAGTGTTTGTGTTTACTTAGTAGCTAGTCATTAGGAAAGAATGACGAAAGAGGTGGGTGACGACTTTGTAAAAACCGACTACAGAACATTTGCCAGCGAGATGGAACTTTTGGAAGAACGCCAATAGAGTCACAAAGCCGTCGTTCTACGCTGACCTCAATTTAGCGCTGTCGTTGAAGACCTGGCATGGCACTATCTGGGTCAACTATTAGTCATCTCTTCGTGCCCGGCTGTGGAAATGAAGAGTCGACCTAGATCTATCTAGTCACTCTTACACCGAGGCGTGAACGAGAGAAGGTTATTGCCTGTGAGACACTTCATTTTGTCATGTGGTATATTTATAGATATTTATAGGTATGTGTGTGTGTGTGCGAATGTGTATTGCCATACTGTGTTCTGACTCTTTAATACCATATGTATCTTGAAACATTGATCAAAACATGTATTTTAAAAAAAAGTGTACTAGGGGAGATTACTACAGATACATAATTCATATTCATACAGAATAGACGAAATGAACGTGCACATTGAACTGTCAAGACAAAACGAAAAATAAACAATGACTGTAACAGTCAAGTATATATATATTTATTTACACGCCTTTATTAGTCTATAGTAAAGAATGCTTGTATTTCTTTTTTTTATAAATACAATTATCTTTATATTCAAACAAATTTTTACAAATACATATATTATAACAAGGTTACAAAAGACAGTTTGTGTGGAAACAAGGAGTTTATGTAATGAAAAGTTTAGGAGACTAAATCAGACATTTCTTATCAGAAATCTTATCTAAGCAGATGTTAATTCAAAAAAAGGTGATTACGCGTGTCCCTAGGCCAATCTAGTCTCTCATTTTAATCAACGACTTAAACTCTACCAAGTCGTTGGTTCTCCTGGCTGATTCAGGCAACCCATTCCATTCTCTAATAGCACTAAGGAACGAGTCTTTGTACAAATTTGTCATAGCATATGGCATACAGAATATGATTTTATTTTTGTGTCTTTCTGAGTATTTGTATTAGATTTTTTTATTTTTTTTTATGGTTCAGTGTTTTACGTATAAACGCTACTTTACGTTTTAGTCTTCTATCCTCAAGGGTCTCTAAATTTTATACATAGACTAGTAGTTCTAGCTAATAACTTAAGATTCTTCACCATGCTTATTTGATTACTTTTAAAAAAAGGATTTCTTGTTAGGCATATATATATATATATAATGTCTATAGTGTAGTATTGTTTTCGACATTATAATTGGACAGAAATCGATTGAGACTTAGAACAAACAAATATTTACATTTGGCTAGAGTTACCGCATTAGTAAAATCACTAAATTTAGAAACACTTAAGAAGCCTAAAATAGTTACTTATCAATAATACTAATAAAAAATAATTGCAAAAAATATTTGTAACAAAGTTCAAAAAGACACAAAGGCACATCTCTTTCTCCATATGCTAGGACTAATTCGTACAAGTGCTTCTTCTTACCTAATGCCATTAGTATCTGGAAATGGCCATGCGGCCCTCGAAACAATGACGTCATTGTCTTCTCTTTTGAACGGACGTCTGTATTCATTAAGCCAATAAGAAATAATTATATAATTAGACTAAGTGGCGTCGTCAGGGAGGTGCAAGGGGCGAGGTCTACATCGGATGACCCCCCCCCCCCCCCCCGAAAAAATTGTTTCTTTCTTTTTTACAACAGATAAGTTTGAAATAAGTGTCTGCCAGGTTAAAAAAACTATAACTTCTATGGTAAGAGGTTACTATGAAAAAAATGAATTGTATCTCTAGAGGTATCTTAGTAGTCTGTGGGTGAGGGTAAGACCATGAGCTCACTGGGCATTGAAGTTCAGCATAGAGCAACTTTCCTATATCAGGGGAGCTTACTTCCTGTTCCTAAGTTAGATCTTTATGGCCACTCGGTTTGCATTTGTTCATGTCGTGGCATAGTTTGTATCCTTTGTTCATGTTCTGACTTTTGTTCATATTTATGTGTTTTTTGTTTGGTTTTTTTTGTTTTTTTTTAAGTAGATTTATTAAAATCGCAAGCATAAACCTAGATTTCAACCTAGATTGAAAATCCCCGCTAAAAATTCTGTAAGATCATGACTGTACTTGGGTTATCTACCTTGCTAAATATAAAAGGTCTTTTGGGAAAAGATTCTTCACTTCAGACACCACGCTGGTAAAAACAGCAACAAAAACATCGTTCCACTGATTTCTGATGTTGAACTTTTCGGTCAGTCACGTACTTTAGTTTTAATTATTTTTTTTTTTGGGGTGGGGGAGGGGTGTCATTCGTAATAATGAGATAATTCCCTTACATTGGAATATTAATGTTAAATTGTAAAGATTCTGAATAATGTACTCTTATTATTATTTGTATTCAGAATAAAGAAAATAAGGAGCTAGAGTCAAAAGCTACATGTGCCCACAAACTACGTCAAGTGTATTCATTTGTTTTTAAAGAGGTAGCTAACTGGCCTTAAGTTCAAATGACGTTTAAGTCGTCTGCATTCTTAGGACGCCTGTGGGTCCCCGGTCTAGTAGGTACCTCACATTGGGGACACTTTTTAAAGTTTCGCTTATATTTACATCCTGAAACGAATAAGATTTAATTTCTTCATTTACTGTTGAAATCTTTCTGCATCTGTTCAGTTTTCTTTCTTTGCGTAGTTTTCATTGAGTCGTTTTACTAAAAATTTCAAACAGTGATTGATGTAACTCTCTGGTCCTTTGTGTTTATTTCCATTCGGCTAAAGTTCCACGGCTCTGTTGGTAGAATATATTCGCCCAAACAGTTCTCTTTCTACTGCTGTTCGGTTTTCTCCACAGCCCCTCCCACTTTGATGTTGGCTGATCTTCTCGCTCTACTGTGCGGTAGGTAACATTTGTCTTGATCAAGTCTTTCATCTCTTTATGGCGCCACTCTTTACGTAGAAGCTGCATGGTGACTCGCCCTGATATTTTCACCACTTCGGCGTGTTGTTGTTTTTTCTTCTTCTCCGGAGACTAGTCTCCGTCTTTTCCCGGAGACTTCGGAAGACGACGCTTCTATTGGCGCGAGATTTTATTATTTTTTTATTTTCAATGTGCGTTTGAAGTGGTTTGTTTACAAGAAAGTAAAGAATTAGTTCAACTAGGAGGATGGGGACAGGGGAAATAACTTAATCAAAGATAGTTAAATTGTTTAAAAAAGGAGAAAGAGACAACAGGTATTTCACTATATTGTTTTATTTCATTTTTTTTCCAGACATAAATACTGATATATTCACCTATTCAATATGGATGGCTGCCTTGTCGTGCGGTATGAGCGCTGGACTGACGTTCGGACTTCTCGTTGGTCCCGTGTTCATATCCTTCCCACTGCCATCCCTCGACGTCCTGCGGGAGGTTTGGACTCTAGGAAGCAAAGTATCTTCAACTCTGAAGGAACATCCGAGACATTATTATAAAATATTTTACAAACATTTTGGTCATAACTTCCGATCCCTCCCCCCCCCCCCTCGTGACACAGCCACTCATCTTTGTCAGAATAAAACTCCATCAACGCTTCTGTTCACGTCAATATACTGTTACTATACTAGTAGATAATTGATTTTGTTTCTAGTGATGTATTCATAAATTGTTCAATCCATTTCTTTTTGTTCCGCCTCCTCCTGCAAAATTCTTTTATTTCAATGCAACATTCTAGAAAGTTGTTTCGATACATTGTATCTTTTGATGACATGTATCTAAACTACAAACTTTTTTATTTATAACGTGCGGCATTCTTGATCAAGGTTTTAGACCATTTTCATAATTTATTTTTACAGTTCTTCTTATTAGCTTGCAAACTCAACGTCTATGGATGGATACGTATCTCGAACACGGCTTTAACGATTTTCCTAGCATTCAAAAGTTTATGTATGAACTTGGGAAAAAATGAGGCTAATCCTTTACTTTCACCTCTCTGTTGAACCGGGTACCTTACAAGATCTGTTGACCAACATTCTCCATTCCTCTCTGTCAAGTGACTTGGATAGAATCTCATTCAATGACATCCCGTCCATTCTTTTATGTTCTCTTCCCATCGCTTTCTCTGTCTGCCTCTTCGTCTTCTTTTTCCTGCTACTGTTCCCTGAAGGAAGGTCTTTGTGAGCCCCGAGGATCTTTTAAAATGATCGTTTTAGTTTGCTTTTCTTGACCGTAGTCAGCAGGTCATCGTGTGGGATCCA